AGCTTTAGAAGGTAAAGAGAAATTAGATAAAGCAAAGACGAAGATGTAATTCTGGAGAAATTGTCAAGAAAGAATTTTATCTGTTCTCTGAATTTTAAAAAGTTTCTAATTCTTGGGGTTTTTTTTTTTTTTTGGATCATATAGGTTGTGGTTGGCCCAGGTTCTTAGCTCTGGAACACAATCAGAGAAGTCATAAGAACTGTATGATATACTTGCCAGGCTGAGGTCACTAAATACCCAAGCAAATAATTGAATGAATTCTTTTCTGGAATGGAATCAATGACAGGGTGTGTAAATTGTCCAACACCCACTAGATATAGAAATCCTCTTTCTGCCTCAATGAATTCATATATGCACCTTAGCTAGACTTTTAAATGATCACTTTAAAATTATGTGACTTTTTGATGTTTGAGCCATTCAAAAAAGGAAAGCATATTTTATAACCTGATCTCATTTAATCCTCAAAATGAGGCTTGTGGGAGTGATTAAATTACCCAACTTCACATACCAAATTAAGTGCTGGGGCCAGGATTTAAACTGGGGACTTTAATTGTCTCCTATGTTATATAATACATTTTTGCCCTGTTCTACCAAATAGAAGAGAGAACAAATATTTGGCTTCAGAATGAAATTCCTTACTAGGGGTAGAGCAGAATTCAGGACCCAGTGGCTCTGGCTTAAACCTGACATGAGCAAAAACTATAAGAATTTATCCCAACTTGGACAATTGTTTCCAACGTGATGGCTTGTTTCTTTGGTCATGTCGCCCAAATCCATTCAGGACTGCTTTTTCATTTACCTTGGACTCTTCTGAGATTCCATCTAGGTTGTCTTGTCCACACTTGGTTACCTTTTGTGATCTCCTTGTAAGCTACAGTTTCAAATAAAAAATACAATTCAAATAAAAATACATTAAATAAAAAACATAGGAGGCAAAGACATTCTGTGTTGGGTAGGGATCAGTAACTATGGCCTTGATAAAAGCTTCCAGGAGAGGGTCCTTTGGTAGCTACTTGGTGCCTGTGGAAACAGCTTTGTTCGACCTCTGTCTACTCACTAGTTTTGGCCATCAAAGCTGGAGTCTATTCAAGACAGGAATAATTCACTGAGCCCCTGATACATGCTGAGTTGCTCAGGGCTGCAGGCATGGGTCACAGAGTAGGGTTATCATAGACAGTTTACTGCATCCTGAGGAGGGGTTGAAGTGGAGGAATGTCCAGGGAAAAGGGAATCCTTGGGATTAAGTTGGTAGTTGTTTTAAGTCTGTTGAAAACAAAATGAACCTCTCGCCGCAAGGTCTCAGTCAATCACTTCAACAGTGTCTGTTGGAATCCATCTTCCTGTGATAGAATGAAGAACCCATAGGATCCCTAAATACCTCATCCACTCCTTTGACCTCATGCTTGCAGAGAAAATCCATACAATTTTGGTCCTGAGCCTCAGCCTCAGGAGCGTGGATCAGACAGTGGCGTCTCCTCCCAGCATGGGCCTCTCTGACATGTGGGCTCCCCTGTGGTCACTTTCCCTCTATTGCCTCCCTGATAAATGGGGTGCTGTGGGGCACGAGAGAACACAAGAGTCTCACCCCACCTTTCTCTGAAGTTCTGTTATACTGTGGACCAGAGTCTTATTCTTCCTGTCCTGTGGAGAGAAAGGAGGAGAGTGTACGTCTGCGTCTGTGCACCTCACCTGTTCTTATTCAGCTGGTTTTCATCCATTTCACCCCAGCAATCTTTCCCTGCATTAAGCTCTACCTTATTTGCTTACTGTAATGTAAACAGTGAGATCAAATCGTAGGGATACAGATGTCCACCTGCGGGGCTTCCCAATATTAAACATCACCAAAGAAACCCTGCCCTCCACACATCCCCTTCCATGCATGGTCACATTTGAGGTGACTGACTGCCTTTGTCTGTAAAAAGTTGGACTAGCTTATCTGACAGATGATGGACAGGATGAGGAATGAAACCTATGAAATGGCTCCTCCCTGCTTCTTGCTTACAAGTCTGGTTGTTTCTTCTTCCAGCTCCTGCAAGGCTCTTTCCCTTTCCATGGTGGTACAGTTCTCCTTCTCCCACTCCTCATCTTCTGCCAGGTCCCCCGTCTGAGTGATCTCACTTTCCAGTCTGAATGACACAAGCACACTCCATGAGGACCCGTGATTGGCAGTTTCAGAACTGATAAAACACACATCAGTTTTAAGCATACTTCAATGACAATACACGTGAATCTCAAGCTGGAATCCCTTCTTTCCCGGATCCATAGAATGAGAATCAATTCAAAGTCATGAAAGTAAGATCCCCCTGATTCCCAAGCCAAACACCCCAATGTTCTCTCAACTCAGGTAAGTAATACCTAGTCTTTTAAGAATATTTGAAACTTGCTAAGTTTCAGCATTCAAGGCACAGAGAAATCCCAAAGAATGAAGAAGACATTTTTGCTACACAAGATATAGGTCTCTAGAGCAAACAGGACAATTCAGTTTTGTCTCTTCTCCTCCACCCCTTCCTTTGCACTGGGACCTTCCCTCATGAAACCCTAATACTCACCTCTGAATCTCATCTTCTTTCTCATGGATTTTGAAAAGCAGTTCCTGATTTGCTTCATCTATTCTCTGCATATCCCTTTCAAGGTCCATGTTCAAACTGATAATGTTCCTCTTTGACTGTGACAATCTTGAGATTTCCATTTTCTCTGACCTGTAGACTCAGCCCCCCAAATGAACAAGGGCCAGTTATCTTCAGATCAATATTCATCGGGCCAACGGAGACAGTGTAGAAGTCATGTGGTTCATTAACCTTGCTTTTTCTGGGAGCATACCTTTTTTTTTTCATTCTTTAGAAATTATATTTCTTATTTATGCTCTATAATTTGTTTCATTAATTCTCAACTCAGTCAGCAAGGGAGGTCTTTCCCAAGCTTTCTGCTTCAAAGTGTTCCTTATAATGGTGCCCCTCCACTCTGGTTCCATGAGAAGCTTTTCTTCCTTTCAGCCCCTTACATTGGAGAGAAGTGTTTCTCTTGACAATCTTACATATATTTTTCACAAACATGTTCATGCAATACACTTTTATGGGGTAAATTTATCTAGGTACCTGGCACATCACTTCTGGTTGCGCCTGGCTTTCTGCAGAGCTGCAAGAGGTTTCCACCAGCACAGTAGGGCTTCAATCTTTCCCTCCCTCCTCCCACCTCAACACTTCTCCTCCACTTGTCTACTACAAAGTTTGAGTTTCTACCACGAGAGTCATCCCTTTGAGCACACACAGATATGCTCCAGGCATAGCTTTCAAGAACGCAAACATCTTCTTTGAAGTAAATTTGAATAAAGTAATGGTAACTCTAGTCTACAAACGGTACCTGGCACATGGAAGGCTCCCAATAAACTTTTCTTTTTCTCATATGTAAATTAAGTCATTGATTTGTCTTTGAATTACTTAAACGGGAGTAGGGTAGTGAGACACAGAGACTTTGGTTTTGGGTAGGAATGAGGGATGATATTGGAAAATAAAGTTTATCTTGGAAGGGTGGCTTGGATGGGGCATTTACAGTAGTTATCACTTTAGAAGGGCATGAGATACTTGCAGTAGAGTGTAGTGGGGGGTGGGTGGATGGGAGTAAAAGGGGAGAGGGAGACTAAAAGATGAGGGAGGCTATCAATAGCAAACCCAATTCACACCTTAGTGCCTGATGTGGCTTTTCTTAATCATGATTACTTACTCATAATCTAGCTGGTATTCCTTGTTTTCTTCCATTGTAGAGTCCCTAAAATGCAGCAGAGATGTATCTAATGAGTTGGGAAAATGGGTCCATTCATGAAGCACAAAGTAATGAGCCAAGTGTCTCCCCAAAATAGAACCAAACTAAGTTAACTTGTGTCCTCCCTCCAACCCCCATATTTTGGCCATAACAAAACCCGGCCCTCTGATTCTTCTGCCCGTGATCTGATTATGCCTCAGTAAGGAACAGTGAGAATACAAGGATAATGCTAGAAAATTCAATCTATGTCCTGCTAGCAGATATATTCAAAGATGGTTTACCAATATAATCATGCCATTTACCAATAGTATCATGCCATTTTGATCCAAAATGATACTTCATTTCATTTGGAAATTTATACGAGATAATAGGAAGAAATAGATGTTATCAATTGATGTGAAGTTCTTTTTTGCCCGTAGGCCCAATCGCTTTTCTTAAGGCCCCATGGGCATGGATGTAGGTATATAACTGCCTTGAAAAGTAATCTCTGCTCTCTAGCCTGACCTTTGCAAGAATCTCCATATATTAAAATCTTTAGTAGTGAACAATGCTTAGAAAACCATACAGAACTATTTGGCTCTTTGACCCTTAGTTTCCTCTTTTTCTCCATTTTTTTCTACAAACTCTACCTCCCTTCTCATGTGTATTGTCTTCCTGATCCTGCCCTAGTCAATTAGCTTCTGAAGAGTCCAACCTTTCCCACTGGAGCCATCCAGTAGAATCTCTGAACCTTCCAAGGGGTCGTGACTCTGCTATGACATAGGACGGGTGGGGCAGCCTGTCACAGTGGGGTGTGTGGCAATGGTTCCTCATCATTCGTGAAGAGTTTAGGGCCCCCATCAGTGTGTGGGTTTCATGGCCGAGTCTGACCTAAGCAGCTGTAGGTTCAATGGATCTGATTTCTGAGCAGTATGAAGGGGCTGTCCCTGTCTTTTATTTCTCTGGCAGATAGAGCTCCCTTCCTGCCCAAGTCTGGCTAAAATGGTAATTGTGGTTCCTGTGGCCAGTACTCTGATCCCATCACTTAGCCAACTAAGTACTCATTTATTCCACAAATAATGAAACACTGATAGAGCACCGAAGCAGTAGGGAGAAAGAGCAGAACAGTCCAAAGCCCTTGCTCTCAAAGTTTACGTTTTAAAGCTTGTGTGTGGGGAGGGGGAGGGTAACACAATAAGATGAATAAGTAAATTTTAATTGGCATAACAAAAGAGAATGCTATGAAGAAACACAAACAGGTGAAGGGGATAGGAGGAAATGTGGTGTGTCTGTGTGTGTGTGTGTGGGAGGGAGGTTGTTGCAAATTTAAATTGGGTGGTGCAGAGAAAGCTACTGAGCATTCCCAGACCTGGAAGTGAGGTGTAGATTTGTTAAGAGGCCTGGTGGACAAGGCAAGACCTTGGGTTGTTCTAAGGTGGACACAGAATCCAGCAGATCCAGGAGCAGCAAAAGGTGACGTGAAGAGCCGAAGTGTTCCTGCAATTCCTCATGGTTACATAGCTTTTCCCTCTACCTGCCACCATCCTGGGAAAGAGGAGAGCTCTGGAGAGGGAGAATCTCCTTAAAAGACTGAGAAGTTACCCAAAAGAAATTTTTAAATTGGAAAAGTTTGTGACATCTCAAATAGACTCCGTTGAGTCTTTTCTGCCAACTTTAGGAATAGGAGTGGGAAGGAAAGATAGGATCAATTGCAGAATATAAGGAATATGTTTCTGCATACCTGAGTGTGTGTATATTTTGGCCATATTCTGCACAGTTTCAAACTTTTTTGTATGTGCAAGTCATGGAAACTTGTGAAGTCTCAGATCTCTACTTAATAAGGACCATATTGAGTTGATTTGTGAGCCAGAGTGGCTTCTTAACATACTGTAGTTTCTAACAAACTATTTGTAAAATTAATGGCCTCTGATGACCCCCATTACCATCTCCCTTCTTCCTGAAAGGAGGCATTTCATTGCTTTATGAAGCTGTACACAGAAGAGTAATTAAGTAACAATTCAGGCCAATGGCCTCTCCCAGGAATTAATGGTAGGGAGAGTTCATTAACCCCAGCTGGTATAGCTTCTCCAGGAAATGCCCTGGACCAAGGTTATCGCAGTCGTTAATGGATGAGATAGGGACTTTAACAGGGATAAAAAATAAAGCTCTATCTTCTTCCTGGGGAGTTTTTCTCCTTGAGGGGCTACCAAAGGCAAGCTGGTACTAGTAGCAGAACCCCAAGCTTGGGACCCTGTGTGGGATGAGGACAACAGATTGCTATCAGTGGGAATTGTTAAATCAAGGTAAAAAGAGGGCCTTGGGGGCAGATTAAGGTCTTTGATATAAGCCTTCCTGCTATTGGGGAAATGGCTTGATTAACACCCAGTGCAGCTTTAGAGCAGCTGTTTTTGCCTTGTTAACTTTTGTATGCCCTGCCCTGCCCATAGCAGAAGATTCATTGAGAGACATTTCACATCCTGCTCCTTTGGTGCCAGGAACGCTGCTGCCTTTGTGTGGAAGTCTATTGGGAAAGCACCTGCTTGGTTTCTGGGCTGGACATGCAGGCTGTATAGCTGGGCCTTTGCTTTCCTGCTGCCCAGGGACTGGCTGGGTACTTGAGCCCTGAATGGAAGCTTTCCCTGGGCTCTGGCCCCTCCGCTGCCTCAGAGGGATGGAGAGTGATTTCTTCTGCTCACCTTGCTGTCCTCACTTCAAACTTTGCAAATTCTTCTTGGATATTTTCATTAGTGAGCCTGGTTTTAAGGTTCATAGCCAGGCAAGGCTGTAGAACCTCATTTCAGTTCACTGTTTTTCAAGTACACACTCAAATACGCTATTTTCCTTATGTTTATTCTTAGTGACTATTTCTGTCCAAACTTTAGGCTCATTAAATCTCTTTGATATGAGTTTTGGAGGGACACACACACACATACACAAATCTCTTTTTACCTCCTGTGTTAAATTTACACCTAAGTATTTGATTTTTTTGTTGCTACTATAAATGAGATTGTTTTCTTAATTTTCTGTTTGGGTAGTCTGTTATTAGTATACAGAAGTGCTACTGATTTTTGTATGTTGATTTTGTATTCTTCAACTTAGCTCATTTATCAGTTCTAACAGTTTCTTAGTGGACTCTTCAGGGTTTTCTGTATATAAGATCATGTTCTCAGCATCATGGAGTCAGTTTTACTTCTTCCTTTCCTATTCAAATGCCTTTTGTTTCATTCTCTTGCCTAATTGCTCAGCTAGGACTTCCAGTACTATGTTGAATAGAAGTGGTGAGAGTGGACATCCTTGTCTTGTCCCTGATCTTAGAGGACAAGCTTTCAACTTTTCACCATTGAGAATGATATGAGCTATGGATTTGTCAAATATGGTCTTTACCGTGTTGTGGTGCATTCCCCCCATACCCAATATGCTGAGAGTTTTTATTAGGAAGTGATGTTAAGTTTTGTCAAATGCTTTTTCAGTACCTATTGAGATGATCATATGATTTTTATCATTCATTTTGTTAATATTTGTATCATATTTATTGATTTGCATGTGTTGAACCATCCTTGAATCCTAGGAATAAATCCCACTTGATCACGGGGAATGATTCTTTGACTATGTTCCTGAATTCAGTTTGCTAATATTTTGCTAAGCAGTTTTGCATCTATATTCATCAGGGATATTGGCCTGTAATTTTGTTTCCTTGCAGTATCCTTATCTGGCTTTGGTATCAGGGTAATGCTAGCCTTGTAAAATAAGTTTGGAAGTATTCCCTCTGTTTCAGTTTTTTGGAAGAGTTTGAGAAGATTTGGTATTCTTTAAATGTCTGGTAAAATTCAGCCATTCGGTCCTGGGCTTTTCTTTGATGGGAGACTTTGTATTACTGAATTAATCTCCTTACTCATTATTTGTCTATTCAGATTTTCTGTTTCTTCATGATTCAGTCTTTATAGGCTATATGTGTCTTGGAATTTATCCATTTCTTCTAAGTTATTCAAGTAGTTGTTGTATAATTGTTTATAGGAGTTTCTTATAATCCTTTGCATTTTGGTGGTATTGGTTGTAATGTTTCCTATTTCATTTCTGATCTTATTTACTTGAGTAGGCTCTCTTTTTATTCTAGTTGGTCTAGCTAAGGGTTTGTTGATTTTTTTCCCATTGTTTTTCTAGTCTCTATTTCATTTATTTCTGCTCTGATCTTTCTTATCTCCTTTCTGCTAATTTTGTTCTTAGTTTATTCTTTGTCTAGTTCTTTGAGGTCTAATGTTAGATTACTTATTTGTAATCTTTCTTGTTTTGTGATATAGGTGTTTATTAGTATAAATTTCCTTCTTAGGACTGCTTTTATTGCATCACATACGTTTTGGTATATAGTGTTTCCATTTTCATTTGTCTCAGGTATTTTTCGATTTCCTTTTTTATTTCTTCTGTGACCTATTGATTGTTTAAAAACAGTTTATTTAAAATTTTTTTTTAAATTTTTAAATTTTTATTGAATCATGATTGATTATACATATTTAGGGGGTTCAATGTGGACATATGTTGATCAAATTAATATTACTAGTATATATATTGTTACAAATCATACTTTATTCTTTAAGCCCCTTGTCTAATCTCTCCCCATCCCCCTCTCCTTCTCCTTCTCCCCTCTAATTACCCTAGATTTCTTCTCTTCTTCTGAAAGAATAATGGTTACTCAGTTGATTTGTTGCCTGGATGATCTGTCCAATGCTGAGAGGTGTGTTCAGATCCCCCAATATTATCATAGAGCAGGTGCTTCTTCTGTCACTCTGGAATGGACTTTGTAGAGGGAGACATCCTCTTCTTTTTCTGCTGGTGACTCTCTTTGTGTCAATGCCCTCCAGTGGCTGGCAGACCATCTGTGTGGTGGTTGTGGCATCTAGCCACTTTCACGGCAGTTGTGGTTATGATGGTGGTTGTGGTGGGCCCCCCATATGGAGGTGATGTTTTTGGCATGCTCCTCACTTAGTTGATGGTGGTGTGCCTGGTAGTGGGAGGGGGTCTG